ACTGGACTTACAAACTGACCGGGAAAAAGGACAAATCTCACAAGATGCTACTTGCTTAATTTCTCCTTAGGTTCCTATCTCCCACAGATGATCTCCGCATAAAAAAAGAAAAAGAAAAGAAAAAAACAACAATATTATACTGACTTATTGCTGTACAAAGAGCATTACGGATTCCGGGCAGGAAGGAGGTTAGACCATTTTTTTTTCTTTATTTCTTTTTTTTACGGTATCCTCCAAGCTCCCTGAAATCTGCACTTTCTCTCGGCGGGTCGCAATGATCACACTGCAATACATGTGACAATATCCTCCTGGGAAAAAAAAAACTGTCTCTCTAGCTCAATATACAATGGGGAGCAATTATATGTCTCATGTACAAAATATCCGACCTATTCCTAAAATATTTAAAGATGAATATAATAACAATAATTTTTCCAATAATGATGATAATCTGTTCACCATCGATGTCCTTTGTTCAAAAAAGGTTCATTACACCATAAAAAAGGGGGGTGGGGGGGGGGTAAAAATCATCCCGCTACAGCACAGACACAAAGACGTAGGCTTGGATGTACATCGAGTATGCCCAGGTGATATACTAAGACAATATACTGACATCCTGTATGCGTACGTGTATGTCTGGTTATATTCTATCTGCATTTTGGGTGTTTATTTCCACATTCTATATGCTCGAGTGTATATCCATACCTTTATCTGTCTGTATATCTATATATGTGTATAAGTGTGTGTATGTATGTAAGTGTGCAGTATACACATATGGCATCAACAGTATGGATAATCCTGCAATGAATAAATAGTTATAATACTCTATAGCATTTTCTTTGCCTTTCTCCTCTTATCTTTCAGGAAATCTCCTCAATTGTTTTCAAAAACACCAGGAAGGGTTTAACAATGAAATAGTCATATTGAAATTATATTTAATCAATCATTTACAGTCCCTATTGTAGCGTGGGTAGCGGATCGCTCCCAAAAATCAAAATACAACTGTAGATTTCGGGCCGGATTGAATTGTGCGAGGCCCGACCCAAGGGAATACAGAGATGCGTATATACAAGAATAAATACATTAATCTCTCTAGATCTTTATGGTGTACATGTCTAGACAGATAGATGTGCATTATTTCGGTGTATATTCGTGTCCCTATTAATGAATGTGTTATTGGGTCTGCCAGATGAATGATGATGATGATGATGATGACTAGAAGATGAATATTGGATGATGATGGCCTGTACTGACAAAGATGATTGTGATATCAATAGTTATAATAATGAAGATAAAAAACAATGACAATAGCAGTTATAGGTGATGGTAAATGATGAAAGTGCTTAATAAAATGGTTATCATGATAGTCGTAATATAATGATGATAATACTAATTGATTATGTCAACGACCGTAAGATTTACAGTACGGAATAATATTCATCTTTCATAAAAAATTGACAAGAATTTTGTTTTTTTGTCCTTTTTTTTTTTTGGGGGGGGGGAGGAAAGGAGGCGAATATAATTATATTGATAATCAATACATGACATACATAAATAGGGTATGGCACTAAAAAAAAAACCTCGGGTAATTTTAAAAAAAATGGAGAACTTGACCAGCGGGAGTGAGAAAAAAAATAATATTTATCCTCTCTCATTCTCTCATTCCTCTCTGGACCATCGTTTACTTCTCTTCTCTTCTCCTCCTTCTCTCTCCTCTCACTTTCCTTTATCCCTAAAAGTCTGGCTCACTCCTTTGGGTCTCACATTTCCCTCTCCTCCTTAAAACATTAACTCTACAAATAGTTAATTATTAATTATATTTTTTTTTTTTACTACACAAATATCACACAATAGCGCAGATTTGCAACAAAAGATATATGGTATGAATAAAGTTTATTTTGCTCTGTTTAGACACAACCGTAATAAACCAAGAAGCTTAACATAACAATTATACAAGATCAAAACAAAGTTATGGGGGCAAACAAAAGACATGCAGTAAGCTCGTTAAAAGACATGAAGTAAACCAGAAATACATAAAAAAACTAAAAGCAAAAGTGAGTAAAAATAAGCACAAAAAAAGAAAAGCAAACACACAGAACAAGAAACTTAAGAATAACGATAAAACAAAAAAAACAAAAGAAAAAAGAGAAAACAGATGCTCCAAAAAATAAAGACAGAAAACAAGAAATAAAATAAAGACCAAAAAAAAAAAAGCTAGACAAATAAGAAAAAAGAACAACACATTCTAAGGGAACAGACCATCAGAGATAAAAAACAGGAAAGAAAAAAAACAATCAGAAAAACCAAAAGTAAAAAAAGAAACCGCAACGCACGACTCACCGGGGAGGACGAACCATGGACCATTCAGCGAAATTTTTCCCGTTTTTCCCCACGACATACGAAACCAGATGTAGATCCAATCGATTCCCTTGTATGATGGCCCCCGTATAAATACCTGTACGCTCCGCCTCCGCAGGCAGTGTCGTCATACGACTTTTCTGTGCTCGGGATCAACCACAGACTCCGCAGAGAACGAGGTGCGCGCCTCAGCACAGCAGCCTTCGACAGCATCGATCGCCATCCATTATGTTAAAACTCTGTACAAGGCAAGGATTGTACCCTTAAATCCTCTTCTGTCTTCCCCATGCACCCCCGACGACTCGCCGTACCATGTCTAGACGATTTATAGAATTTCCATAAACACTCGGCCCCTCCCTTCATACTACCACAGCCACTACCCTGGTGATCAATAAAAAACGTTACCATACCACATAAGAGCGTCATCAGTCAAATACCGAAATATACATCAAACGAATACCTCACCTTTCCCTTATCTTTTTTTAAAAAAATTCGTGGTGAGAGCGCCTTTTCGACACCTTTCCTTCTTTCTTTTCTTCCCCTCTCTCTCTGTCTGTCTTTTCTTAATTCTCTCTCTCTCTCTCTCGATCCTGTTCCTCTTAAGTCTCCTTTCTTCTCCATTAAAATTCACCACCACTGCCTCCAATTCCTCACTCCTTCTTCATCTCCCAATGACATTCTATCTATCACAACAAACACTACAATATTCTAAATCTCACTCTCTCTCCTCGCCTAGTTTTCTCTCTTTCTAGGAGCCTAAGCATTCTGCCCTTTTATTCTCTCTCTCTCTGTCTCTCCCTAAGTCTCTCCTCTCTCTCTCTCCTCTCCCTAAGTCTCCCCTTTCTCTTCTCTTCTCTCTCCTTCCTAAGTCTTCTCTCTCTCTCCTCTCCTCTCTTCCTTCTCTAAGTTTCTTTCTCTTTCTCCCCAAGTCTGCCTTTCTTCTCTCTCTCTCTGTCTCTCCCGAAGTCTCCCTTTCTCTCTCTCTTTCTCTTCATTATATCCCCTTCTTTTCCTCTCTCCAGCTCCCCATGACATTCAAACACATAATCAGCCGCTTTCGCCATCAAAGTGACGTCAAAAGAGATGGGAAAAAGACAGATGTTGATAAACGGGGTCTAGAGATAATACGTTGGGGGGGGGGGGGGGGGGGGTGGAGGTAGGGGGTAAGAGGAAATATACCCGAGTTCTCTCATAATCAACACGACTGTGAACAGGTACGTCTTTCCTATTAATGTTATTCTCATCCTCATGTCTTTTATGATAATCATTGCTGTTATTATTATCATAATAATTACTACAATTATCATCATTACTAATACTGCTATCATAATCATTATTGTTATTAACCTTATTATCATCATCATAATGGGAATAACAATAATAATAACAGTGATAATTATTATTAGCATTACTACTATTATCATTATCATTACTGTCATTATTATCATAATTATCTCTATCATCATTATCATTAGCCAAACAAAAGATCAGCTCATTCTAGTTAGTTTAAATAAGCTACAATAAGACACAGAGTTGTGGATTTTTTAAGTAAATGTGGAAATTGCAAAAGAATATACACAACTTTACTATAGAAATTTCTCCATGAAATAAAAATGCATACTTCCCTGTTCTTGCACTACTTCTTCAACAGATCAACCAAAGGAGACCGATTCCATTATGTTTTCTTTTTCCAACACGCATACTCTGAAGGCTAAGGGACTGTCTGTGATTTAGTGTTGCATTTCCAATAATACCAAACAAAAGTAACAATAGTAATAATAACAATAATAATGATTAAAAGAAATGATAATCATATTGGTAAAAAATAACTTCTATAATTATAATTCAAGGGCATACATATGAAATGAGACTGGTATAGATTGTTTACTTAAAAGGAGTTATGGAGAATCAATCTTGTAATTTCTAATAGTTTCTGCTCATCAACGTTTTCTGTCATCAATGTCCATTTTCATTGACACTCCACAACCCAAGGTACTTTGATAGAGGTAGCCCCACTCTGTCTGTGATAAAATCCTAGCTGGCAACTTCCTAGCTAAGCCCCCACCTCATCACCTTTATTCATTGCATTTTTTTTTCTTGTTTTCGTTTTCAAATATTTTAGCACTGTTATTACTGAACCATTTTCAAAGAAAAAGTTCTGAGAAATTACTTGCCATAATATAACACAGAGTGAGTGGGTCAAAATGGAGGCAGAACTAATGGCATCATCACATTTAACCGATGAAAGTGCATTGTGCGATAAGTGTAGCTACATAGATAATAATTTGTATAATCTACTTGATGTTATAAATATCAAAAGAAAAATCAAAATTCCCCTTCTTTTACTTAAGATAACGAAGAATTCGTTACCATTAACAGACGTGAGAATACTCCTGTTCAATGGTCCATTTCATTTATGGGCTCAACATGTTAAATGGAAGTGGGCCTACTTGGTTATATGCCGGTACCAATGATGTTATACCCAAAGTCTAGAGAACTACTCTAGACTTTGGCCGATCCTTATTGGCCAAAACTACACGGAACAACAAAGTGACAGAGAACTTAGTTTAGTTGTATAGACCTATATATATATTTGCTGATCGTTCTGCATAATCATTGCTGATCGGTTTACATAATTATACATTGTACATCTTGGTTAATTCTTATTGTCAGATCGGAGGTATGGCTAACGCAAGGGTCATGAGGGCCTTCTTGGTCCTCCTGCTGACAGCGCTGACGAAAGCGGAGCTGACGCAGCTGGTCATTGGCGAGGAAATCATCGTTTCCTATAATGGACATGAGGTACAGTTCGTGATCCATGAATTTTCAGGAGGGGAAAGGCCCTGTGAGAGGTCGTCTGGGATTTTCAATGAAATACTTTTTACCAGGTTGGTGGTTGGGGTTAGTGATTATACACTGACAGATATACGTACATAAAACGCACAGTGGAACATACATACCTTGACTACCACACAAACGGAACAACACAACACACACATCAACGAATAACACCCCCCTCTTTACTCCACTCCTCTCCTCTCCTCCCTTCCATTTACCCCTCCTAACCTCCCATTCCCTTTGCCCCATCTCTCACCTCCCTTCCCTTCCCGCCCTGTCCCCCTACCACAGATCTTCCACCACACGCGGAGAGCCCAGTCATCACCTTTGGCGTGGGGACAGCCAACTACACAGAGGACCACGGTATGTTCGACATCCAGGAGGAAATTCTCGAGGTCGTCCCCATGGATCGAATCGTCATGGCTTCGAACAGGACGGGAAGTGTTCGAATCACGCTGGGTTCCTATGCTGATCCCGAGGTCGAGGTGGGTGGGCCGGGTTGGTTGGTTGGTGTTGTGTGTGTGTGTGTGTGTGTGTGTGTGTGTGTGTGTGTGTGTGTGTGTGTGTGTGTGTGTGTGTGTGTGTGTGTGTGTGTGTGTGTGTGTGTGTGTGTGTGTGTGTGTGTGTGTGTGTGTGTGTGTGTGTACATTTGTTCGT